GGATGCTGCTGGACCCGGGTCTTGGGCAGCTGGAGGTTTGTAGCTGCCTCTGACCCCCTGGCTCCTCTCTGCTGTGTCCTCTCTGCTTGATCCTAAAGGCAAGGCAGGTCTTTTATAGTGAAAGCCAGGTGCTGGGAGAGGAAACGAGCCTAAAGTATAAAAGCTGGGATAATGGGTTGAGTAAAAAAAAAAGAGAAGTTTGTGGTTTTGACATATTCCAATATAAATAATTTTTTGTACATCTGGGAGAGCTGTTAAGCAACAGGTAGTATCACATACACCGCAGGTTCATTGCTTGGTGGCAGCCAGTGCTGTTACCCAACATCCCACCGCGCTAATGCAAAGCTCCCAGGCTGCTCCCCGCTCAGGCACCGGCGGCCGTGTGCCCGCGTGGCCGGCACGTTGCAAGGGTTAAGCCCCGGGGTGAGCCCAGCGGCCGCTCAGACACGCCGACGTGGCTCACCAAGCCCTGGACCAGGTCGGCTCCGACCTTCTCAAATACAGGCCCCCACTTTCCCGTTTGCAGCGCAGTGATGCAGCGTTGCGCCGTTTCTGTGTTTAACTAACGACCGTCCCATGCTGAGCTCTGGGAGATGGGCCCGGAGCTCGAGTCTTTTTATCCCGTCCCTGCACCGGAGCGCCGTGCCGTCTGCAAACCCCTCCGACGTGCACAGCGAGGGCGGAGGGTGTCCCCCAGACTACCCTGCCGCCGGCGGGTCAGGGCACTTGCCCCAGAGGTGGGAGATGTGGGTCTGGATGCCTTCCAGGAGCCAAGGTCGCCCACTGCCTAATGCCAGTGCCCTCGGCATTAGACTGCGTTGTGGAAGGCGAGGGGCCGCGACACCAACATCATGCCCATGTTGTTAATGCTGCCCTTTGTGGCAATCTCCAGGCTGTTTTGGGGGGTGGTCGGTGTGCTCAGACCATGCAAAGTCCCCCGGGGCAGAGCTACGTCCTCGCTGTGCTGCAGCGGAGCAGAGGCGGGCATCGGGCGTTGGGCCGCTCGGCCCAGGGCGTTTCCACCGGTGTCGGGGACTCGGCCGTGTGCCGCGTACAGGCTGTGCACACCGCTTGGTTTGCACGAGCAGTGATTGCTCCTCTAGATTCGCAACCACTTCAGGCTGGTCCCCTCCCACCCCAGAGCCTGGGCGCTGTTATGTTCTTGCAGCTTTGCAACTTGAAATCACTATTCGCAATCCGCAGAGCGCACCCAGGGCCAGATTAGCGATGCAGTGACATGCTCAGTGGTGCAAAACTGAGTCTCCGGGATTCCCAGGTGACAAAAAAAGCAGGACCAGGACTAGCGGGGTTGCACTCGTGAGCGCCCAGACCCAGCACGAGAGCATGCCATTGCCTCCCTTCGAGCACCCGTGAGCATCTCCAGATGGGTTTCCATCTACTTGGCTTCTCGTCTGCTCAGGAAACCTGCTGACCACGCCAAGGGCTTCTCCCAAGGACTCTCAATCCTCAGAAAAACACATTAAACAACAAGGTCCTTAAACTTTCAACCTGAGAAGCATTTCCTGAAGATTATCCTGTCCACGTCCGCAGCCTCCACCGCCGCACTGATAGACTCGACACCCTCAGCAGCCCCAGAGAAGGCCCGACCGAGCAATGAATGGAGACGTGGTGTCAGCTGAAAACTTAAGTTGCCTTCAGACACAATGGCGCTTCTGTCCTCATTTCCCCAACAGTCAATACCTCGTGAGATGCAATCTGCTGCTAGATCCTAGCCAAGGCTCTCAAGTGCATCTTATACAATACGGGAAAATACCTTTCCAAAGATGGTAATAACAGCTTATCCGTATCAGGCTTCTTGGAGAGCCTTATATAACACCTCTCCTCGTGGTCTCGCATTGGGTGCAGCCCTGAGAAGCACCGTCGAGTGTTCAATTGAAAAAGCGAATGCATTCAAATGGGCCATCTTCCCAGTTCGAATCCGAGCCATTGAGGGTGGGAAGGGACCTCAGGAGGTCACATCTAGTCCAGCCCCCAATCCTCACCCCTGCAAGTTGGCAGAAGGTCTGCAGACCGGCAAAGCCACAGACATCTGACTTTGGGGATCAGCAGCCAGGTTCCCGTACAGCCCCGCTGTGCAAGGTGCACGGTGCACGGTGCGTGCGACCTGTGCTCAGCGACCACCGCTGCGCGTGCAGACGGGCTGGACCGGGGCGTGGAAACTGCAGGGAACGCCGGGCAAGTAGAGGGGAAATCATTTACAAGCCAGGCTCAGGCTTTCCATCCAGGACCACTAGCACTGCTCTCCTGGGTCGCTTTTCCATCACTATTGGTGCAACAGGTTTTTTGGGGCACTCCATGCCAGTGAAACCCCGTAGCCCCTGGGAGGACGAGCACACTGGCCACGTACGCCCTGCCAACCCATCCCACCGCAGCGACACTCCAGATCCAAACACCGACACACGGAAAACATGGTTTGGGGCTAAGCAAGAAGCTCCGCAAACTCCCTGCGGCCCCGATCCCCCGCAGGAGAAACACCGATGGGCAGAGGGCATGGATGGCGCGTGGACCAGAGGGCTGGCAAGGCTGGGATGCGCTGCAACGCGAATCCTTGAGCAAAAGCAGCACATTCCCGGCAACTCGTGGCCTGAGCAAAGCCCAGCTGCACGGCTTTGGGGGAGGGCAAATATCCCAGCGGCTCCAAGCAGAACAGAGCGCTTGAGGCCCCAGGTCCGTGGGTGAGGTCAGGGCCCCCGAACAAGAGCCACCTCTAGAGGGGAAGGCATGGAGATGCCCTTGCAGCTGGAGGACAGGGCTAGGCTAGTTAGCATTGCTAAGCAACAGTGCTTATTATAGTCTAGCTCTCATTGCTAAGCAACAGTGCTTAGGATAGCGGAGCAGGCTAATGAGCCCGCCTGCTGCCCTGGTTCTGGGCTCAGAGGAGCCTCCTTGCAGGAGAGCTGCCCTTGGAGGCAGACAGGACTCTGCATCTAAACAGAGGGATCCTCAGCACCCGGAGGACGGGGAGTAGAGAGCGAAGCTTTCAGCCGAACCCCTCGGGAGCTGCTGTGGCTCGCAAGTCCCTCTCTTCCTATTTGCAGAACGGCGCCACGGCCACCGCCTTCCAGCGGGTAACACAGACGCCTGTCTTTGTAATCCTGCAGCACATAAAACATGCCAAGGAGTTTTGCACGGCGCTGAGGCAGCTGGATGAGCTGCCAAAGGGTTTTCCCCAAAGCCCAAGGCAGCAGCAGTCCAGCTGTGCTTCCACTTTCTGGGGAGCTCCCAGATCCGGTGGCAACGCATGGTCTTTAATGACTTAAGGCCACATCCTTGGCTGGTATAAACTTGCCCCAGATCCCCAGACCTCACAGGCATTAGGTAATGCATGACTGACAATTGCTGTCATGAACATCAAGTGCATTTCCAGATTGCTCCTGCCTTGGGTACATCCAGACACGTGTAAGGGCTGGTGCACAAGCCTTTTGGTTTGTCCTGGGTCAGGAAACCACCTCTTGATGCCCTGAGCAATAGGAGATGGGGCTGTAGCGGTATTTCAGACTTGTACCAGAGCTGGGGCTGCCCTACATCAGAGCAGATCCCCTGACCTAGCATCTTTGCTGATTGAGGTCAGCGGCCGAGCCGAGCCGCTCTCTGTCATATTCCCAGCCAGCCAAGCTACTACTTGGCTGCCAGTTTGCACATGCATGCATTGACCTCGAGCAGCCATCTCCCAACCAAAAGGGGAGATCTGAAAACAGGGGCTGACTCAGGATCCTGGGAGGGCCGTATCCATACTTTGTGTGGGGAAACCTCTTCCGACCTCCGCAGAGACTCAGGTGCTCTTACCAGGTCTGGCTTTGGCTCGTGCACGTACCACCTAACCCCTCGGAGAACAAGCTCATGAGCAAGGCATACACTTTTACATGATGGAAATAATAAAGGGTTTCTGGCCTCATTTGCCGAGAATATACATGCAGCCCCTGAAATCACCCGGACCGGAGCGCGCTCAGCACCTTCACAACCAGGCCGTGCACTTAAGCTGGCTCTGGAAATGCCAGCGCAGGCCCTCAGCGGCGGGCTCAGCCCTCTTCTCCGGGCGTGGAGGCCTCCTTGCTGTCGAGCACAGAGCCCCGCTCCCTTGGCCTGACCGGCCAGGACCTTCCTGCAAAGGGCCAGAGGCACCCTGGGCACTGCCCGGACCTGTCCGAGGGAGCCACACAGTGCAGGGCTTTGGGAAGGAAGGAGGGTCGAGGGGGTGGAGCACGCTATCGGCACTCCTGAGATCAGGGTTCAAGTCCTGATTCCTACAGACTCCCTGGGAAACTCTCTTAGTTGACCTGCTGCCTCAGTTTCCCACCTGTAAAGGGGGATGATAAGGCTAAAAATGCGTTCAAGATGGTGAAGCACTTGGATGAGGGTTGAATAAGTACCGCGACTCTTCCCCAGGGAGCACAGGGACTGCTCGGAGAGAAGCGGCCAGGTGGACAGAGGTGCAATGCAAGCCGGTCGAGGTCACCGAAGAGCACCTTGCATGCTACTGCTGAGAGCACCCGCACGCGGAGGGAGAAGGGGCTGGGTGCAAGCTTCGTGCACAGCTCACACCTCAGACTGGTCTGAGAAGCCCCTGCCTCCCAAATCTCAGTCCCAGCTTCAATGCCCCACCGGATGCAAACCCTTCAACTCCAGGGGGGAGACTGGAGAAGAAGGGGAGCAGGGAAAGGCATGGCAAGGAGGAACAGATGCGCAGAACGACTGCTGACGGAGTGAAAGCTTTTATTGGAAGGGAAGCACCAGCACCGGATGCAACCGCTGCACAGCACGAGAGCCTGAGACAGTAAAGCTGACCAAGGAAGTTCTCAGAGAAAACCCCAACAATTTTCAACTAAGTGACAGGCTGCTAGCACTAACCCCAGTGTACAGTTGAATTCATTAGAAACAGAAGAATCACAGTCTTGAAACGAAGCATTGCTCAGAAAGCAATACGGGAGTGCAGGACTCTCCGGCTGTGCAGGTCACCGCCTCCTTCCAGATGTCCCCGGCGGGAGCGCCCGGTTCTGGTCCTTTCCTGGGACCCTCAGCCCATTTTGGTCAGCACCACCGCATGCTGTCGGGAGGAGAAGGCACGTCAGCAAGAATCCCCCTTGGGTTTGCACCTTCTTTTCTCTGCCCCACGGAGGTGCTCCCTCCTGTCTGCTCAGACACGCGAGCCAGTCAATGGGCGGCCAGTCAGGGCTAGTGCCCCCGGGTCTGCTCACGGGTGGAAATCAGGAGGAGGTGTGGGGCGGGGGGCGATTCATCTACTCTCAATGTGTCCATCCATCCCACAAAACCACGCCATGGTTTTGTATAACGGGTGGCCTCACGGGAGAAGACCCGTGATTGAATGGTGATGAAGAGTTACATCATCGCTTAATAGACACCCGGGCTATTCAATATGGTATGCATGGATGAAATCCAGAGAGCTCCTACTTGCCACGGGCATGGTTACCCGTGTCTCAGCCTACAGCAAGAACTTTGCTTTCCAGATAAAGCGACAGCGCGTTGGTGCTTTTGGTGCAACCGGGTGCCTTTGACCAGGTTGAACTCTGCTGGGAACAGCAAGGTATTTTTGCAGAAGGCCGCAGGTCAGGAGCAGCCTCCACTTCTCGGACAGCTTTCTGCGCTTCGCAAATCAAGGCGTGCACAGTTTTGAGTGTCCAGCTTAGCCCTAAAGGTCTAGATTGCACTCGCGCCCTGGCCGTTTAGTCAAGCAAGGACGGTGGAACGGCCCTGGAAGGACAACGCGGGTGTCAGATCACCCGCAGAGCCGGGGCTCCTGCAGGAAGCCTGGGGCAAGGGCTGGCAGCCTCCACGGGCCAGGGAGAGCCCGGAGGAAAGAGCAGCGCGGCCGGAAAACCGGACAGAAACAAACCGAGCCGACACGTACGTCAGCGACGTCCACAGCAGCATTGGTCAGGTCCATGCCGAAGAGCTTAGGCAGAGGTATGCCATCTTCCAGGGCAGCTGAAATAAAGAGACACGGCGCTCAGCACCGCGCCGGGCAGCACGAGCGCAGCCACGCAGGACAGGCGAGGCGGCCCCGAGCCCCCCGCTACGCTCTAAAAGGCAGAAGATTCAAAGACAAAAGCAGCCTTACTCCTGAGCTTGGGCAGGTGCAGAGACTCGATGATCTTACGGAGCCAGTTTTCAAGGTCAGAGATCTGCAAGGGGAAGAGGAGAGTTTTAGCAGCTGCGCACTTTACGACCGAGGAAGAGAGCCTCTGCTTCCCCACGACGGAGACCAGGCTTGCCCGTGTCCCCTGCCGGCTCGCTTTGTGGGGCTTTGTCTTCAGTGCGTGGGGAAGCATTTCTCAGGTCGTGGGTGAGGAAAGGGATGGTCCAGCCGGCGGGCCACTATCTATACTGTAAAGCGCGGGGGGATATAGGGCTCACAGCAAACCCATCGCTGGACGGGCACCAGGTGACAGGTGCTGTCCTGCCCCCAATTCGCCAGAGCTGAGATGCTCTGTAAGAGCAGCCCGCGGGGAGGAAAGTTGCCTTTGCCCTTCTGCGCATGTCTACTGGGCTGGGAACCACGCGGGACAAAAACAAAGGTAGCGAGCAAATGCCATCGGGGAAAAATTGGAGCTTTATCCCAGAGGACCAGCTGGATGGGGCTGAGATAGGTTAAACCTTTAGGTCGTTATCCCTTGGCTACCGCTCCTAGCATTAGGCCACTTCACGCAGCGCGCGGTTGCGTGGCACCACAGACTTACATCAAAGGGGCCGAAGTGCGACGAGGCCAGCCAGAACTGAACTCTGCAAAAAATAAAAGCAGTCAAGACCGGTTCAGAGCCCGTTTATCCGTGTTTCCCCTGTATCCGCGCGGTGGGTGGGAAGATGCAGGAGCAGATCGCAAAAATGAGCATTTCTTTGGGACGAACGGAGATCTAGCTCGTTATGAAATCTCAACAGCCCGGAGAAGCTGGAGCGTGAAGTGCTAACGCCTGGTTTCCCTTGACTTCCAACGCACCGTGGCAATGCTCTGACATCCCGTTCGATCATCTCTGCAGTTTGTCTTGTATGCGAGGTGGACTTTCCCACCAAACTGAAAGCTGGGGGAATGCTTTTTGAAGATTTCAGAGGTCACATTTCAAGTGGGCGGTCTCGGCAAAAAATCACCAAGTCCGGTGCATTTGTGACCTGCCTGGCAAGCCCCGTTCAGCCGTGTCCCCACGATCACCACGAGGACTAGCCCAGCGTAGGCACGGTGGACGATTCCCCAGGCTTACCTTTCCACATTAAAGTCGAAGTGTAGTTTGTGGTCTTTCACACTAAGGCCGAGACTCAGAATGATATTCTGCAATTAGAGCAATGACATAGAGGATACTGGCTCTGTCCTTTCCCACTTTGAGGCAGAAAACAAAACCCCGCGTTTTCGGAAGCAACCCCATTCACAGGAGGACGCTTCTGTTCGCACGCGCAGCTAGGAGCGACTCCGCCAGCTTGGTTGTGCACCACTGCCCATCTTTATTTGGAGCTGTTTCTCAAACGTGTGGTTTTATCCACTTGCCTGGCAACAGTGCAGCTCATCACCTGGTCTACTGGCCTTAACTAAGTCTTACGTCGGTTGTGTCGCTTTTTGGATTCGAAAAGCAACCCAAGAGCAACTCTGTCTGGACTCTGGAGACCCAATGAAGGAGCGAATGCCAACGTGCTGGCTCCGCACTTACCCCGTCCACTGTGAAGAGGGGCTGCAGAGTTGCGTTCTTGTGGCGGATGAGCACCTCGATGGAGACAGTGACGTTCAAAATGGCTTTCCCGTCGTGCAGAGTCACTTTAGGGGGCGAAGCGAGTCTGAACTTCACCACCAGCGGCAGATGTTTTGGTATCAGGTGAGACACCTGCGTAAGGGCATCACAACGGGGTGAGGCAGAGAGTGGGAGGCTGCAAAGGGTCGACAGACACAGACAGAAGAGCTCGAAAGCCAAGAGAGGCACTGACCTCGGGGATCTTGGACTTGATGGCATCGGTCGTCAGTGGAACGAGAGTGTTAGCCTGGGGGAGAAAGACAGTGCAAAGGGAGTCAAAGAGCTGAGCCGCTTTCAAGAGAGAGATTGCACCTACCTAACAACAGCCTTCTGCCCCTCCCTCCACCCAGAAACATGATTTTCTGCCTTGTCCTTGCTTTCCTCCAGCCGCATCCCCAGGTTTGCGTCTGGTTTGTTTGCAGCTCTACTAGCGGTAAGCCATGCCAGTCCTGAGATGGCAAAGACATGGCACATAATTCAAGCAACTGTGTGTGCCTCAGAGCACCCTCCGCGGCCACGTCACCCCTGCTCCAGAGCTGGATCCGGGCCCGGGCAATGCACAGCCGTCGACCACGGGCGCCGTGCAATCCAGCACCCTGCACATCCCAGCTCGTCACACTGCAGACAGTGCAGGGTCGCTCAGCCCTGCGCGAGAGCGGGACGCACTGCATGGAGGGCTGGGTTTGACAAGGCGTGGAGGGTCCACGCACCAAGACAAAAGCAGCTCTCAAGCCCCTTGTGTCGGGGGTAAGAACGAGGCAGGAGGTGGGCAGAGGACAGATGTGCACGACGGGCACGTCTGCTTGGCTTAATTGCAACTAAAAAGACGGCACATTTTCCACCATTTGGAAGCAAAAGTAGATGAGTGTGCACAAAACCTGTGAACCCTGCACAGGTGTGTGCCAGATCAGGGGCTGCAGGGAACCAGCATGGGGTAGTCTGTAGGGCTCACCACGCGATCGGTGATGTCCATGTCAAGGTGCCCTCCATTGTGTAGCAGGGCGAACACCGAGTCCAGGAGACTTTCTGAGAGGACAACCTGGGAAGTGTGGTCTGACACAGGGGGCAGAGACATGGGCGCTCCAGGTCCCATCCAGGGGGCAATTATGTCGTCCACGGCGTCCGTAACGAAAGCCTGGGAGAAATTTTAAAAAGCGGGATATCCGTATTACCACATGGAAGACGAGGTATCCGACGGGAACTCGGGATCATCGCGGTCCCGCTGTACAGCGAGATTCAAGGTACAAATGCTTGTATAAAGAGTTAATGCCTGACGAAGACGTTTCCACAAATGGCTAATTGATGGCTGCACATGATTATAGGATCCAACCAGGAGGTCGTGTTTAGCCCCAGATGACCAACTCCTATAAAATCTCTTACTGACCTACAGCAGTAACAGAGGCTACCGACATCCATAGCCTGCTTATGAGCTTAATGAATCGTGCATCCGCACCCCGTTATCAGCTTAATGAATCGTGCATCCGCACCCCATTATAAGTGGAAACTGCATTTAAAGGGTGATCACTGTTACTTTATAAAACACAATCGTTAGGTAGAGCAGATTAAAGAGTAGTGATGTTTTGCTGAACAGTATCCAACGTGTCGGCGTGACTTATCACCATGACTAAGGAAGACCAGTGTTATCACATGCGGCTGCCAGGCCGCACAGAGCAGCATCTGCCGGCGTCTCCTCGGCAAACAAGGAATCCCCTTGAATAAATAGTCACCACCCGACGGGGGGATTTACACGTGTTACCCAGTGCTGCAGACCCGGGCATGTCTGAGCCAGGAAGAAGAGTAATACCTACATTTAAATCCAGCTGGAGGTGTTGGCCGTCGACCGGTGGAAGGCCTTTGACCAAGTAATGGATATGTCCTAGTTTTCCAACTGGGGCCACAGCTGCAGAGAAACGAAGACATGCTCTTACAGCGTGATGAACTGCAAACTGAGCACGGTTGTCCCAGAACATATCTGTGTCCCCAAGCATCCCTGATCATGACCTTCCCATTCAAACTCCCCGCTGGAGCGACTGCTAGGAAGAAGTCTATCCAGCTGCTTTCCTGGGACACAAACCCAGAGCCAAGCCACCCTGAGCAGGGATCGTCACAATGGAAATGGCTGCAGACCCCTCCACCCTCCTTGCTGGGAAGTCCCACAATCGCTAGGGATCCAGAAACATTTTGGAAGGAATAAAGTTACCAGAAACTTACTGTCCACGACGCGAATCACAATGTTTGCGAGGCTGACCACAGTATCAATCACAGGACAGAGCTGTAACACAGAAAGGGAAGGCCACGCTGCGTGAGACTCTCGAGTGGATGCTGGACCGGCCGTGCTATTCTGGACATGCGTTATGAATATCGCAGATCCCTGAGCGCAGCAGAGAGCTGCTGCAGGGAAGCCCATGAAGGTCGCTGTCTGCGCAGGGAAACCTCTTCAAATTCGCTCTTCCCCCTGTGCCCCGACAGGAGGGAGGCCGAGCAGTGATCATATCCTGCCACAGCTCCAGAGGCACAAATTGAAGCCTCAGCCTAGAGTGGTGTTGAAGGCTGCCTCAGTCAGCCCAGCTGCAAAAGGGGGCCAATGGCTACCGCACCCATGCCTGAGGCACGCTAGCCCAAGGGGCTGCCCGCATCATAAGACATCAAGACCCTCTCTGCTAATGACCAGTGCTGGCCCGTGAGGAAAGGCTTCTTGCAGTGCATCAGGGGAACAGAAGTCGCTTTTGCACACCTCAGCATGACTCCTGTACAGAGCTGCGAACAAGGGAGGTTTAAGTTGGATTTTAGGAAAAGCTCCCTCCCGAGGAGGGAGGTGAAGCACTGGAACGAGCCCCCAGAGCGGCGGTGCAGCCTCCATCCTCGGAGGTGTTTAAAACCCGGGTAGACAAAGCCGTGGCTGGGATGATCTAATTGGGGCTGGTCCTGCTTGGAGCAGGGGGTGGACGGGATGTGACTCCCTGAGGTCCCTTCCACCCTCCTTGATCCTGTGCAAGCATTTCACGCCAAGGGCAAGGCTTCTGCCACTTTTCTGAACAACGCATACACCTCCTTAATGCCCGCGTGGACTGGGCGTGCGTATGGAAACACAGCATTAGTCCATCCAAAGCGTGAGACCGCTTTCCCTGCATCGTTGCACAATGGGCTTTCTTTTGGAAGATGAGCCTTTATCCATCTCAACGGTCCTTATTCACAGGGTCGGGGCAAGGGTGGAGGGGTCCAAGTGACTTCAGGGGAATGACTAGAGCAACGGGGACCGCTTGCATGTCTCCCTGTTTGCAGGTATCCTTCTGATGGGATCAAACGTGTGTCACGATGCAGACTTACCACTTTAGGCAGGAACTTGATAAGGGCGTTCATTAAGACCTTTTCCACATGGATCAAGCTAAATGATGAGACAGGAAGTTAAAAGTGATGCCTGTTTACACGGGGCAAAATGACTACAACAAGCACAAGAGAGGTCTGCCCCCTCGCCAACACCCCCACCCCGTCCTCTGCAGAGAGCAGGGCTGTGTCGGGATTTCTACACAAAAAATGCACTCAGGCCCCATGTCAGAATGACCGCGTGCGTCGCGGTGCAGAGAGGCTCTGCACTTCCCCAGTCAGGCCAGACCCTGAAAGACAGTTACTCATTCACAGAAAAGCATCCCAACATTTGGCCACCCCCGGTGCCAAATAAAAGGAGTGAATGAATGCATTCCCTCTGAACTGCAAGAGTAGAAGTGTCCATTGCAGGCAGAGCTATCGCACGCAGTCAGGGGACGTAGCTGGTATTGCTGGCACCTACCTAGAAATGGCCTGAACGTTACCAATATGGGTCTGGCAGTCCTTGACAACTAGCTTGATGCCATCTTTGCCATCCGCTTGCACGGCGACCGCCGCCGTGATGTTCACTTCCACCTGGAGAAGAGGCTTCTCGTCCGAATCCCTGGGAACGGACAGAGGGATTCAGTGCCCTTCCCCGGCAAATGCTCCTGCTGCCCGGCTGCCCCGGAGCCCAATAAAGAGCATATTCATGCTAAAACTGCTTGATTAGCCCCTCGTTATTTCTGAACCTTAAGTGCACCTCATCACCTTTGAAAAGTGAAAATACAGTTAAAAAGGACAACTGCCTCTTTGACCCCCGCCTTCGAGTACCCTGTTAATGAGGAGCCCTAAGGAAGTGAGGAGCGTGCCCTGGTCTGAGGTTTCTCTGACTACAATCACGTGCTTTCGCACGCCCTCGAGGGAAGATGCTCACCTCTTGCCATCACCGATTGACACTTTGGTGTAAAGAGTCAGCTCGAGCCCGGGTCCTGGCAGAACCTTTATCGACACTTTGGGGAGAGTAATGTGCACAATTTTCAGCCTGGGAAACAAAGCAGAATGAGAACCAGCAAATGAAGCGATTGCTGCAGATGCCCTGCCGCGCCACGCCGTGCCGTGCCGTGCCGCGCCGCCACCCCGCGCCATCCCGCCCACAGCTGGAGCTGCCATCTGGCCTGCGGAAGCTACGTCTGAGCATCGCTTTAACTCTGCTGCATGCTTGGAAGCTCTCTGGGTTCAGAAATGGTGCAAATGAGCACAGAAACTGCCTCAGGGAGCCACGCTGATGCCTGCGTGCTGAACACCCAACCCCTGCCCGCTCTGCTTTGAGAGCTGGTTACAGCGTCTTGCCCACACGTGCCAGAAATGAACTGAGGGGGATTTGCAAATGCCTGGGCCATGCCCTGACTTACCCAGTAAGTCCTTGAACCGTGTTCAGCAGACCTCTAGTCTCAGGGAGCAGACGTCCAGCCGCGCCGAGCACACTGTCCAGGGCGCCTAACCCAGCTCCACTGACTTCTTCAAGGAGGTTGGCTTTTTCCACTAAATCTTGCAAAACTGAAGAAAGGACAAAGAGTTCAGAGCAGGTCGTGTGCATTCAGATCCCAGTGGTGCCACGGCCTGCCCGCAGCTCCCCCAGGCCTTGGCTGCCCCGTTTGGAAAAGGGATTTACTGAGGAGGGCTTTGAAAGCCCTGGGCACACAGCATCCATCAGTGCAAGGTAGAATCGGTCACCCCAAGGCTTTGCTCCTGTACGCCGGCAAGTGACAGGAAGGGCAAAATGATTCACTGGATAGTAATAAATCTGGGACATCCCACCCCTAGTCCGTTATTTAGCAACTACAGCAATGCTTACGCTTTTGTATTACGCTGCCATCCAGATTAGCAATAACCGAGGGATTTTCAAGGACAGCCCGAGATGGCACCAGGACCCCACAAAACAGGAAAATGGCCCACAACTTCATCTTCTTTGCGTTGGATACCTGCAAAAAGCATCCCCGGTTAGCAGAACAGAGCAGAATGGGCGAGCAGCGATGACAGGACGCGGTGCTGGAGGGACAGCAGACGAGCCGGGACAAGACCCGACGGCTCCCCGGGAGGAGAGGCAAAGGAAGACGGTCCATCGGAGGACATTTATTCAAGGTCCGGACGCCTGGTCCCACTGAAGACGGCTGCAAGGACCCGAGCGCCAATCCCGGACCGCTCTTCAGGCACGTTACCTATTCCCTTTGGGGATGATCTCAGGATGCTGGCGCGGGAATTGGAGCGTTTTAACCCACAAACTGAATCTCGTCTCCTCTCCATAAGGGAGACAGGAGACCACATAACAGACATGAGGAGGAACGTGGGGACTCGAACACAGATGTCACTGCAGGAACAGGGAGCCAGGAGAGCAAATCCTCACCTAAATGCCAGCTTCTCTGACACAAGGACAAACACAGCGAAAGCGTCTGCTGGTATTAAAGCCCCTTTTCTATCAGTATGTTAAGGAAAAGCATAACACACGCATTTTAAAACTTTGTTTGAATTTTAGGGACATCCTTACACACGCCATGGGATTCCCTA